ATGGGCTCCCCCTCATCACCAAGCTGCTCTGAGAACGCTTAAAGCCAAGGACAGGCCCCACAGTGAGCTCTGCCTGTTCCTCCACAGATGAGACCACGTGCTATGACGATGGGAAGATGTACCAGGTTGGAGAGCAGTGGCAGAAGGAGTACTTTGGGGCCATCTGCTCCTGCACTTGTTACGGAGGACAGCAGGTAAGGAGCAGGGATGGGGCAAGCTGAACGTAGGGAATGGAGAGAGGCTGTGCTGGGGTGCAGTTGTAAGACTGCTGGGTTTTAGGTCATGGAAAGGGCCCAAACAGGCCTATATAAGAAAACTAATTAATAGGAGAGCTTAAATATTTGCTATCAGGGGCTGCATGGTATAAGATGGGAGCAGCCTCACTAGTGTTGGTGGCTCTGTAGGCACATGTACAAATGTGGATGAATTAATTATACTGAAGGAGGGTAGATCTAGATTAGATATTAGGAAGGAATTCTTCCCTGAGAGGGCTGGGAGACCCTGGCACAGGTTGCCCAGAGAAGCTGTGGCTGCCCCATCCCTGGAAGTGTTCAAGGCCAGGTTGGACAGGGCTTGGAGCAACCTGGGCTAGTGGAAGGTGTTGCTGCCCATGGCAGCAGTTTGGAATGATATGATCTTTAAGGTCCCTTCCAAGCCAAGCCATTCTGTGATTCTCTGAGTCCTGGCAGCTCCTTGGCCCCCACCAGTGGGGTGTGACAGGTATGTTGTGTCCTTGCAGGGCTGGCGCTGTGACAACTGCCGCAGGCCCAGCGTGGAGGTGGCTCCCGAGGGCTCTGCTGGCCACACCTACACACAGTTTACACAGAGATACCACCAGGCCACGAACACCGTGAGTACCCCTTCCTTCTCTGCCCTGTCTTACTGTGACCCTGGTCTCTGGCACAGCTCCGGGGGGTCCGTGCAGAGCCGAGGGCGAGAGCAGCTGCAGCTTCTGCTCGGCCAGGGGTGCATGAGGGCACTGAGCCAGCCAGCACTGCACAGCACATCTGCATGAGCCCCCCCTCCACACACACTCAGTGCAGGATCCGGTTGCATGCTCCGAGGTGGTAGTGCATGGAGAGATTCCCAAGCCTTCCCTCGCTGCCGTGAGCCAACCGCGCGCTTTGCGCTGGGAAAACGGAGCAGCAACAATTCCCAGCCCAAAGCGTGGCAGGGTCGTGTCCGTCCTTTCAGGATGGAGCACTAACCAATTTCCTTCCCTCCCGACAGAACGTGAACTGCCCCATTGAGTGTTTCATGCCCTTAGATGTACAGGCAGACACACAGCAGCCACGGGGAAAGTAACAGCGAGCGACACTCCCGGCGGCAATGGCAACAGACAAACCAAAGCATAAATACCCATGTGCCACGGTCACCACCTAAACTGGAGGGATGCTAGCAAATCTGCATCTTCTGAGTATGGCCCTCTGCTCTGGAGCCATTTTCCCAGCTTAAGCTCAACTCACAGCTTCTCCAAGCGCCACTCTTGGAGTGTTTCAGACTTTTCTCATGATTGATAGCGATTGTCTTGGTTGTGCCCAAGGTGTTGAATACCAGTCAATATTTTCAGATTTAAAGGGTAAAAAAAAAAAAGGGAAGGGGGGAGGTGCTAAATCACGAATTTGGTGAGGGATCAAAATATTGAGGAGGAGGGAGGGTGTAGAAATTCAAGGTTCCTGTGCTATGCAAAGAACATTTGAGTACAACATTACTGAGGTTTAGGGATAGGAAAGTCCACCAAACACTTCTGCTTTCACATAAGCGTGCAGCCAGCAATAAGATAGGAACAGCAAATCCAATCACTGTGATATTTAAAATATGCACAGTCCTAATCCTTTCTCAATGATCCTAGTATTTTTCTAGCTGTATCTTTATATCTCATGCTGTTATTTATCAGTTTTGTTCCCCTGACCTTCAAGAGTTTTTTTATGGGAATAAAATGTATTGAGGACACTTAGTATGCAGTTGACAAAGAGGAATTTGGTGTAATTATGATCAGTGATTATTTTTATACTGTAAGTGCCAAAGCTTTACTACTGTGGAAAAGGAAAAAAACAACTCTTTTAATAAAAAGATTTACAAACCAGACATATAGTTTAAGTGATTCTCTTTGCTACCGTGGAATTTAGGATGAAGATGATTGTGCAGAGCGGGATTATGCTGAGCAGGATTATTCTGAGCGGGATTATTCAGAGCTGGAGTAACAGTGCCTTGACACAAGATGGAACAAACACTCCAAGGAAGCATGAAGTAAACCTCAAGAGAATATTGGTAGAGCAGCTTGTTAATTAAAGGCTTGCAGCTGCACCCCCTGCCCCTGTAGAGCGCTAAGACAGTGAGTAGGTCCAGGCTTGCTTTGGGGCAACAGCGGGAAGGGAGGGAAAGGAAAACAGTCCCTGCTTTGCACATGAACTGAGGTAGAGATGGTCCTAATCCAGCCAGACACCTTCATACCTGGAATTAAATAAGCTTTCAGTGGTTGAGTTGCCAAAAGGAGCGAGACCATCCAAGCCTGTGACGTTGGATGTGTTCAAGGATTCAGAGCCCAGCAGGGGACAGGCAGCACCAGCGTCCCTGCCTGTGCCTTAGAGGCCCCTTTCACATCTCCTGTGCTTCTACCTCATGGGATGGGGAGGGAGGTGAATGAAATTCTCAAAACCCTTTTTAAAACAAAAAGAGTGAACCAAGTCAGCAGTGAGTGCCTTTTGCTTATGCTGCCCCTGCTGCCCCTGCCTGTCCAGCCTTTGCAGACGCAGAGCCAGGGCAGGGAAGGTCCTGCCGTGATTGCTCAGCCCCATTCCCGCCTGGCTGCACACGCACTGTACTGCTCAGGGCAGGGGCATTCTCTGCATTCACTGAATAAAGCATCACATGAAAAGAGAATCTGGCTCCTTGACATGAGAAACACACGTGCCAGGTGCCTTCAGGGATTGCTATTCATAGAACAACCCAAACATTTACAGAGTGTGGTGATTGCAGCAGCAATCAGCTCTTGTCCCACTACTCTTCCAGAGCCAAATGAGCCCCTAAAATACAGGAAATCTAAAACTGCCTAGACAGAGAGGCACAGAAGAATTCATTCCCATTAAACTAGATTGCTATTTGGTTTTCCCAAGTGAGAGCTACATATTTTGGACCAGAAGCTAATTGCAAACTTTATAGTCACTTTGTCACTAATTCATTCATTCACTTCATGGACACACAGGAATTGCCCAGCAGAAAAGGAGTCATAGTCCACCTCATCTCTGCACTCCAGTGTCACAGCTCCTGTAACAGCAGCAAACACCTCCCCCTCCCCCCAGGAACCACTTGAAGATAAAATGATTTAAACAGCCCATTCACCCAAGCTCCCTGTAGAGGCTTGTCCGTGTCTTAAAGCACACAAAGGTTTACCCTGTCGATAATTTCTGGATTTTTTTTACATTGCAGACAATTTATTCTTAACATTCAGTAGTGCAGTGCTGGGTATTTTGTCACAGCTACATCTATTTTCAGTCCCATTTGAAAAGCACTAGCAGAGTGCAGCACAGAGGGCGTGGTACCTGTGAGATCCGAGGTCTCAGTGACACATCTCCTAAAAAGCAGCACGAGGAACCAAGGTTTTTGAGGGTTCCCATCCTTCCCCCAGGCCCTACTGCATGGAGTGGCCACAGAACAGCAGGCTTGATTTACATCCACAATCCACTTGAGCCCCAAGATAACTAGCCCAGGAACGACCACAGTCAGGGTTCTGTACTCCAGGGAGGAGTCCTGGGGTGGCTGGAGGGAAAAAATAAGTAAGTTAAAAAAAAAAAAAAAAAAAAATCTTCTGCTACTGCCTGCCAAGAGCAAGAACAATCCCTCCCTGCTCCCCCATTTCCTTCCATGCCTTGGGAGCTTCATAAGGGACTCTGTGGCCCATCACAGCCCTTTCTTACAGAGAACCACTCTCAGAGCTGCAGGGCAACTCTCCTTCCAGGGGAAGGCTTTGTGCTGCAGCTCAGGTGACTCCCTGGGCAGTCCTGGGAAGTCACCTCACACCTGGAACTAGACCAGAGGTTTTTATCAGCCTTCATCCAGACCACTGAGGCAGGGTCGTCAAGGACACTGGTTTGGGACAGTGGACAATTGGGTGCAATTCCCCCATTTGGACAACTCCTACATGTCCTTTATCCTCATCACAGGCACAGCAGGAGGCAAAATCACCCCACCAAGTATGCTCAGATAGGCCCCAGAGAGGCATCACCTTAGTGAGACATTTACTATCTCCTGCAGAGATCTCACCTGGAAGGTTAGTACCTATTAACTTCCATCAGTAGATTAACCAGTGCTCCAAGGACAGCAAACAAAGGATCAGTGGGAATACACAGACCAGGAGCTGCCAGGTTCTTATTACCAGTCTTTGTTTAGCCAGTGCTTTGAAGATGCAGGCAAAGAATGGACTGGGAGATTCCCCAGAGAACCTCACAGCAGGGAATGTGGCAGCTACAGCCAAAACAACACCGCAGAAAAGACACGTAAGGAAGAGTTTAGACTCCTCTGGGGAAAAGAAAGAGTCCAAACCCAACTCTTAAAGTATAAAAAAGATGGTAGAATCCTCTACTTCTCCTATGTGAACTCTGATCTGAACTCCTGGGATGGTGACAAGCCTGTCAATGGGTCTTTTACCCTGGAGAAAGCAACCTGACCCTGCCAAAGCGCACACAGTCTGGGGCAGGGCTCGGAGCATGGAGACCCAGACTGCCTCACACAAAGGACCTGCTCCCCTCTCCTCCTGGGGAAAGGGGATAATGGATTAGAAGCACCTGGGGAAAACTACCTGCTGACTCAAAAAAACCAAGAAGCCAACTGAGTTCAGTGTAACACAGGTTTTTATCAGTGCAGTGAGAAGCTGGTCAGAAGCCAGGCTTTCACACCATCCCACAGGCCAGGCAATGAAATAGTAAAGGCTGGGCTATAATCTACTGCAGAAATACACCTTTCTCCCAAGGACACAGTATTTGGAGAACAAGACCACTGCACACAGCTGACAATTGTATGTTTATTTGCAAAAGACACCAATGTTCTACACTGGAAGGCAATTCCAGTGCTCCCTTCTCTGGTAACATGGGCAGAGACCTCTCTGCAGAGCTGACCAACCCCTGCTAAGCATAGACTGCTGGTAATTCCCAGTTAAGGCACTGATATTCCATCCCTTCTGCTGGTGAGGGTGTGACCCAAGGGGACAGGGCAGCCCCGGCTCAGTGGTGGAACAGCCGCAGGTTGGTGTGGATCAGGGTTATCCCCAGCTCGTTGCAGGCATCGATCACAACGTCGTCAGCAGCAGAGCCAGATGGGGCAGCGATGAACTGTACTCCACTCTGCACACACACAGGGGTAAGGGCGAGGGTTAGAGGATGGAATACCAAAATCCCCCTTGGAAGGAGCCGGCAGCCCCAGTCCTTCATCCATATCCCACCGAACAAACAAAGGCTTCCATCGCCCAAAGCTGCTCCTCAAGGGAGCAGGACGTTCACTGCTCAGAAATAAAGACTAAAAGGGTAACAGGCCTTGTCTTGATATTCCTAAATGGTTTAATAAACTTTAATCCTCTGTTCATCCGAAATCAGCAAACTGACAATGGCTGGATGATTACTGTCCTTGTGAAGCCAGGAACACTTCTTCCCAGGATATGCTATCCTAGCCAGCAGTGCAGGACTTTCTTCAGCAGTTCCCACAAAAGGGACTTGTGAGGACTTTCCTCAGTAGTCCACACAAAATGAAAAGGAAAAGCCATTGCCTGGAGTCCCCCCAACATCCCAGCCCTGCCACGACTCACCCGCTTGGCCCTGTCGACGTTATCTCTGAAAGGGAAGAAGGCGTCGGAGCTGAGGGACACATCGGACAGCTTGGCAATCCACTGCTTCTTCTCCGCTTCTGTCAGCTGCTTGGGTGCCTCTTCAAACAAGGCCTGCCACTTCACCAGGTCCTCATCCTGCAGGGACAAAACCCAGCTCAGCCCCAGGGCCAGGGGCTCCCGGCATTCCCCTGCCAGGGACACAGGGATGAGCCACAGCATCCCCCGACACCCAGCTCAGCTGGACTTTATGCTCCACAGCTCTGCTGCTGGGAACTTCACACCAGGGGGTTTAAAATCCAAAGTAGGAACGCTTTACCACTGTTGCCTAAATGGCTGTGGGGAAAAAAAGACTCCAAGCCAAATTAGGTAGGAGATAAGATAAGGATACAAAAGTTTTAATGAGCCCCCAGGCTTTTTGGAATACCCCAGTGCGCGCTCCCGAAATACAGATGTCCACAGTTTTTATAATGATTTTCACCCAATCCCGTCCTGTTACCACCCAGGTTCTGCCCCCGCCACACCTCTTGGGAATTGGGTCTGGGGGCGTTTTGGGACCCCCTCTTCTTCATCTTCATCAGAGCTTTTTTTTTTTTTTTTAAGGATACAAAGATGACTGCTGGATTTGCACCCAAACACCAGCAATCGATGGTAAAGATAGCATTTGGCCCCTTATTGGCATTTTACTAAACGAAACAAACTTTGGTAAGTCTATGTTAGAACTGCCAGGAACCTGGAAGCCAGTTACTGAGGCCTACTATCCAGTAACCCTGAGTCACGTAATGTCTGACCAGGACAATTACATTGTCCCCTGTATGGTTGTTAATGCTACAGGAAAAATCATTCTCCCTCCTTACTGTGATAAAAATAAATCTACAGAAGAAATAGGCCCGGAAGTTGTAACAAGGTTGGCACAAGTCCCCTTGAGATTAATTCCCCTCCATGGTTCAGGGTGGTTACTGGATTTGTGAAAAGGAGGCTTGGAAAGTTTTGCCCCTTGATAAAGATCGGGCCTGTGCTCTAGGGGCTGTAATTCCAAACATAACAATCTTTGACCAAATTGATGAACAAGAGGAATGGGGAAAGACTTATCTAAAAAGAATGAAGAGGACAAATAATCCCCTTATTGACCGTCCCACACTCTTTCACAGTATAGTCAGAGCCATGATCCCATCTCTAGGGGTGAGTGAATTGGAAAAAGCAATAGTTAACATCTCAGCTGTAATCGAAAACATTCAAGATCAGGCTTCAGATGCAATTTCAGCTTTACAAGAGGAGGTCCATAGTCTGTCTCGTGTAGTTCTACAAAACCAACTGGTTCTTAATATCTTGCTAGCCTCTCAGGGAGGCGTGTGTAAAGTCATCAACACCAGTTGCTGTTCTTACATAGATCAAAGTGGAAGAATTAATAACGATTTGGCTGCAATTTGGAATCAAACTAAAATTCTACATCAGGTGTCTCTGGACAATGTCTCACTGGGTTTGGGAGACACTCTCCACAAACTTACTTCATGGTTACCGAACTGGACCTGGATTAAACAACTGTTTCTATTGGTAATGTACATAGTTAAGTGTTTGTGTAATAGCTTATTGCATGAACCAATGTTGTAGATGTTGGTCATCTTTTTGGAAAATGATTAGAAGTAAGTAATAGAGATTGGACAAAATTTTTGAGTTTTGTCCAGTCTCTAAAGGGGGGACTGATACCTTGGAGTTTTGATGTTTTAATTTTTTTATTTTTGTAGACCTTAGAAGTAGTTACGTAGTAAATGTAGATTTTAGAGTAGCAGCAGCATATTATTCCTTTACCCTTAACACACCAGCTCAAACCCCTGTTACCCATTCCCATATCAATTCCCTAAATTCCATAGCCTGTTTAGTCTCTTTTTCAAGGTAGAATTGTAGAAGAACACCCTAACCCTACGGAACAAGATATAACCATAGACCCAACAACCTTCAGGCCTAGAATTCTGGAAGGCCTCCAAGGACATTACGTGCTCTGAGGAAGATGAAGAAGAGGGGGTCCCAAAACGCCCCCAGACCCAATTCCCAAGAGGCGTGGCGGGGGCAGAACCTGGGTGGTAACAGGACGGGGATTGGGTGAAAATCATTATAAAAACTATGGACATCTGTATTTCGGGAGCGCACCCTGAGGGTATTCCAAAAAGCCTGGGGGCTCATTAAAACTTTTGTATCCTTATCTTATCTCCTACCTAATTTGGCTTGGAGTCTTTTTTTCCCCACAGCCATTTAGGCAACACCACCATTAGCTCTTTTGACATCCTTTTAACTCCTTTCCTTCCCCCTCCTCACATCAGGGCTTGAAGTGTTCCTTCTCCCCCCTTTAATTCCAAGATGCTCTTCCTGGCCTGCCAGTAGCATGGTAAATGCCAGCACACACAAACAGGGTCTGGTAGATGACTTAACACATGGCAAAAGGCAGCTTGGTTTATGATTCACCTTCTGAAACAGCAACTGCTCCAGTTCTTGCCCCCTTAAACTGCTCACAGAGATGATTCACAAGGTCCCTAATCCAGGCCTTGGCTTTTGATACTTAAAAAGGACATACTATTTTTTCATCTAACTATTGCCTGTAACAGGGAGGTCAGAGGGATTCTCACAATCCAAAACACCACACAAGCAAACAACTGCATGTGAGAAGGTGCCACTGGCAGATCAGGGAGGGCTGCAACATCAACTGAAGATTTAACCCATCCTCACTGCTGGGAAGAGTCATCTTCCATAACGGCACTCAGGCCAGGCTAAGTCCTGCGAAAAGCCTTTGTTTGGCAGTGGCTGGAGCTGCAGGGAAGGCTCCCGGCCGGCCCTCACCTCTCCGATGGTGCCGGTGACGTACTGGTCGATGGCGTTGGAGATCTCGGCTCTCTTCACTCCCGCCTTGAACTTCATGGAGAGCACGCGCGGGTGGTGCCGCAGCCACCAGTTGTTGGCCTTGTCCCCAGCCAGGCGAGTGCAGTGGATCCGGGACTGCTGCCCGGCCCCGATCCCGATGACCTGGAGCACAGGGATGCAAACACAGCCTCACCTTGCTGCACAGACACCACTCAGAGCTGCATTCCAGCCAAGCCATTAGGGAAGACATCCCACAAATCAGCTGCTCCCCACCAACAGGGACAAACAGTGTAGGTAATTAGTGAGGAAAACTTGGGAAATACCTGCATCCCTAATCCTCTAAACTGGTCACAGGGCCAGCTCCCTGCACTGCTCACTTGCAGAACTCTGCTGAGCTCACAGTCACTCTCAAAACACCACATTCTTTCACCCTTCTAAATAACATAGCCCCAGCCATCAGAGTCACACTGTCAACCTCAGGAGAGTGAGACAATTATGGTTTTAAGGCACAGCAAAGTCCTGTAGGTCATAGAAACAAATGTGACTGCCAAAAGCTGGAAAAGGACACTTCAGTCAGAGCACTAATGTGTGAGCCCAGGCCACCCAAACACCACCATCCCTCCTGGTCAGCCAGGCAAGCACAGCTCAAACAGGTCAGCTGAGAGAGCAGTGGTGAGGGGGCAATTTGTCTGTCAAGGCTGGTAAGAAAGTAAATCCACTGCTCACTCAGGAATGCTGGTCAGTGGCACCAATACATCACAGGAATTGTCAGGGCCTGGGGGCTACCACACATTTCCTACACTGCCACCTGCCAGAGTCCAGGAGTGTTAAAATAGCTGCTGCCAACCTTATTTAATAGCACTTGTCCTCGATATCAAACAGACCTAATGCTTCAGGAAGCAAAATTCACAGACTGGTTTTTCCTCAAAGAAGCTGCTATGAAAATATGGTATTTGCTCAGCTTCTGTTTGCTTTTATCAGGCACTTTCTTTGGAGTTCTCTCTCATCAGACGTGTTTTCTCAGGTACAGTATAGGTTAAAATACCTAGAGGCTCTTTAAGTGCTCAGATAATCAGAAAACAAGTCTCTCTCCTCATTTTCTGCTCCTGTGAAGCCACAGCTGAACTGTTCACCAGCCTGTTCTCATGGGGGCTGCTCCAGGGATGTGGTGTTGAGGCTGCTGGTGCTGCCTCAGAGTTTCCAGCTCAGACTGGGACAGATGGTAAAGCTGTAAGTGGAAGGCTGCCCTCAAAGGAATGAATCATTTGTCTTCCCATTCACCAGGACACAGTGACTTCACCTCTTACCAGAACCATTAAACAAGCTTCTGGACACAGTTCCCCCGAGGAGCAAATGAAAGCCTTGGGCTGCTACCAGACATAATCTGCTCAGCCATAACTGAGGTCAGCAGCGTGTAACCCACAAGGATGCTGGTGCTGCCATAAATACTGAACAGATGCACAGTTTCTTATGGGTTAGTGGCACCCTCCTCCCAACAAACACTCCTGATATCCAACCTCTGCTCTCACATCCACCCAGTTAAACCCTTGAACTTGCAGGGGACCCTGCACCTCAAAGCAGCTCGGTACCAGCTGCACCCTGGTGTATTCCCTCATCCACTGAGGTTACCCTCTCTTCCTGGACAAAAGTGAGGCTGGCTGTGTCACACAGCACACCATTAACTGCCACTCAGCCCCTAAGAGTGGGACTACCAAGCCAGGCTGGGCTAAAGCAGGAATTTTTAGCTGGGGATGCAGATGGTAGAGAGTAACAGACTGGTACCAGAGAGCAGCAGGGGCCAAAATACCATGAAACATTCCCAAGTTTCTAAAAACTGTGATGTCCTGGGCCCTTTCCCAGCCAGAATGATGCCTCATCTTCCTCTCATCCTTGTGAGCTGTGGCCTCACACTCCTGTGATGGAACAGGGTGCTTTCCCACCTGTCAGTACCTGAGCAGATGCTCAGAAAGAGCCTTTCCCTTTCTCCTGTGAGCCACCCAAAATATTTCACATTTTTTTGTGACCTAAATTTTGTCAAAAGATGCATAACTGAGCTTTGGCTTGTATCCAACAACTCCAAAATGGAAGGAACTTTGTAATTCAGTTGATCAAAGTGATGTATCCTGTAGAGTCTTCACAGGCATCCCCAAATTGACAGAGATATCATCTGCAACACATGGACCTCTTTTTATCACAACAGCTTAGCAGGCAAGAGAAGAAAAGAGTTGCTTCTCTGTGCCTCCCTCTGAGGAGCACACGATGTTCCAGAAGGAAGTTCACAGTTACAGCCCGGGAAGAACATGCTGGTAGGATGCACTTCACTGGAAAATGCTGATCCAGGGAAAGAAAAATCCTTTTTTTTGGTAGAAAAATATTGACATAGAACATAGAATAGTTTGGCTTGGAAAGGACCTTAAAGCTCATCTTGTTCCACACCCCTGCCATGGGCAGGGACACCTTCCACTATCCCAGGTTGCTCCAAGCCCCATCCAATGTGGCCTTGGACACTTCCAGGGATGGGGCAGCCACAGCTTCTCTGGGCAGCCTGTGCCAGGGCCTCACTACCCTCACAGGGAAGGATTTCTTCCCAATATCCCATCTAACCCTGCCCTCTGTCAGCTTAAAGCCATTGTTAAAACCACAGGCTTTGGTGGAACACTGCTGGGGAAGATTCTTCAATCCAGCCTGGACTTTCTGATCTAAAGAAGAGAAATCAGCAGGTTGAGCTTTTGCTTAATGCAAACTATAGCCTTGTACCTGAATGCCCCTTCACACTGGCCTGTACCTGTTCTCTGCCTTTTCCACTTCATGTGAAGTGAAAAATCCTTCTTCCTACACCTCTTCCTCTCCCTTCCTCAAATGTTGCCTGCCCTTCCCCCACAGCTGAAACCTCAAAACCCTCCACAAAGCAATCTTTCCCCCTGTTTTCTACACAAAAATTAATTATGTTTCTTTCAGAGTTTCATCTCCTGGGAATCCCAAAGTGCTTAAGCAGAGCCTATTAAGTGTGAGCAGTGAAAAGAGACAGCAATACAGGGTCAGTAGAAATAAAAAAATAAATCACTTAATAGAAAAAAGTCTTGGGTGAAAATTGAGAACTACTGCACCAAAACATTTTGGTTCATAATAGAGTCAAACATACTCCATAGCTGGATGCTGTGCAACAGCACAGAGTGGATGAGATGGATTAATGTCCAAAGGATCCTTGCAAAATGATCCAGACTGGCATGGGTTTGCTCAGATTTAGCCTGGATAATGAGTGAAAACAAAAACTCTAAATACATTTGGAAATATAAAAATCTAATGAAGGACCTGACAATTGGGAAGACAAACAAACAATGAAGTCACTGGGAAAGTGTGAGGTAAAATAACAGGTTTGTTTTATCCTACTGTGCAGAGAATAAAGAAAGAATATTTTTAAATTGCTAATTTAAAACATGATGGTATCATTAAAGCAAGTGTAGATCAACATGTTACAGGCTGAAAGTCAGAGAGAACAAGTGGAAGTGTTTACTGCAATTAGTGGCAGCTGCCTTCCTGCAAATTAAGTGACACTCAGGTTGAGAAATGCTTCCTCCCACTCCACACTTCCCTAGAACTCACCAACACAACTGCCTTGCTGGAGTGGCTGATCCACTCATGAACCCAACAAAGGCAAGCTGTCAAAAACATTCTGGATGTCTCACACACAAGAGTTTTGGTGGGAACAGGGATGCTGTGAGGCTGAAATAACTCCTGGAAAACCAAAAGCAATGGAACTGAAAGCAAGACAGACTTTCCCAGGTTGGGCTCCTGTAACCCAAACCAGGTCAAATCCCGGAAAAGTATTTAATCTGGATGCTGCTTTCCATCCCTGGGCTGTAATGAGCTTCTTAAGGAAGAGGTTGAGCTTCGATTTCAGTCCCCCAATGCTGAAATCACCATCTCCCTGAGCAGGTGACTGTTACAGCTGCTGCCCTTTACTATTAAAAAAGTCAAGTACAAGACTCTGACCTCGGCCTTTCCCATCACACACACAGCAAACCAACAACCCACGTTTGTATTTGGTTAAAATCTACACCTGCAAATATGCAAAACACACTGAAGCTCTGCTTGCCCACACTGCTTCCCATCCCTCCCCTCCTGCCCTGTCCCTTCCATATGGAACAGGCATCAGCACACACATTTCAGGCACATCTGCAGCACCACATTAAGCCCAGACTCGCAAAGGCACTGGGGAAATTGCTGCTAGAATGAGGGAAAAGTAGCAGAGAGACACCTTTGTTCTGGGGCTACAAGATCCAACACTCCTGAGTGCAGAGAACCACTTCAAAGCAAAACAACCCTGAAGCTGAATAGCAGAGAAATGGCAGATCTCCAGAGATTCATTCTGAAGAAGCACACAGCACACGACCCCAGGAAGCTCTGTGAGACAGCCCTGCCGTGTTTCCAGGCTGCACCAACAGCCTGGCAAATGCAGATGAGCACCAAAGCAACAAGGAGAGCACTGCAGCTCATTCTCAGTCTCTGTCTGTAGGGTTCACTCTGATCCACTTTGCTGATTTACGATGTACTAAAGCTCAAGATCAAAAACATTCTTTGGTTTTTTTCCTCTGTATTATTTTAAAATAATCCAGGCCTGTGGAAAAATTAACATGGAGAGCAGACAACCAGCTAAACAGCAGCATTAGGAGAATGAGCTACTCGGCAAAAATACAATTTTCAGATAACTGATTTAGGCTGAACACCCAGTGATGATGTGGAAAGGATTTTTTTGAAATTCAAGACCAAAAGAGGGAAAATTTAGGTTAGATATTAGGAAGAAATTCTTCCCTGTGAGGGCAGTCAGACCCTGGCACAGGTTGCCCAGAGAAGCTGTGGCTGCCCCATCGCTGGAAGTGTTCAAGGCCAGGTTGGATGGGGCTTGGAACAACCTGGTCTAGTGGAAGGTGTCCCTGCCCATGGTAGGGGGTTGGAATGAGATGATTTTTAAGGTCCCTTCTAACCCAAACTATTCCATGATTCATAATCTCAAATACACATTTGACAATACTCCTATAAATCCCAGCATTCATCATAACTTTTAAAAAAAAATCTGGGAGGACAGTATATTTAAAATGCCCCCAAAGAGGCAAAACCCCCAAACAGGTCCCATCCTTCTTAAGTAAAAAATGAAAATAAAAGTAAGAAGCATTTGGACAGTCAGAATCCAGCTGTTGAAACTACTGTAATTTCCTAAGGCTCTACACGAACTACAACATACTACATGCCCTTAAAAAAATAATGTGAACAGAGTAGCTTTGAAGAAATGACTCAAGGTCAGGCCAGACTCACAGAAGCAGGTAAGAGTTTTTCCAACCCCATCACTGACTGAGCCAGCCCTGAACAGATGACACCATGGTTTTGAACCAGCCTCCTACGAAACAAATGCTTCGCCACTGTTCTGTGTGGGGCAGCTCCTCTGTGCCTGTTCAGCAGCCTCCTGAGTGCTAGAGGATTTTGCAAGCCTGCCCTGAGAAGCCCCTGAGCAGAGCAGGCTGGAGGAGGGAGCTGGCTCGGTTACCTGCCCATCCTTGGCGTAGCACACGGAGTTGGACTGGGTGTACTTGACAGCGATGCTGGCGACGATCAGGTCTCGGATGGCAGCCTCGGGCAGCTGGAACAGAATACCCTTGTCAGCACCACCCTGACAGCCAGGAGCAGCCAGCTGCTAAACCCCCCAGCCTCCACAACTCCTGAACCAGAGAGAGGGGAATGAGGTAGCTAAAAATATCAATTACCAGCAAATTTGGTTTAGATTAAACTCCATAAATGGGTGGTTTGGCAGCTGATCTCAGCTCTCAGAGGTAAGACTCAATCTCACCAGGTCAGGAGGGCTCGACCACTGGCCCTAACCCTGTGAAGTCCTCTGTCCTTACTCACTGTCATCAGATGTGCTCATAGGCAAAAAGCAGGACCACAGCAATTAGAATAGCTCCCAAAATCTGCATTAAGTATTATTTTTAAGTTCCATTCCTAATTTATTAAAACGACTTTTATTACCTCAATGTCTGAACTTGCTTCTCAGCCCATGACTAATCATGTGCTCATTAACATCTGTTTTTTTAATGAGAGCGAGATCAGAGACAAAGAAATAACTGAAAACTTTCTGATGGTGTTGAACTCTAAATGATGAGTAACATCAGCCAGGCCAGAGTTTACACAACAGTGAAAGGTGATGTAAACAGTGAGTCAGAAAAAGATCACGATGGATCCTTAGCCCATGGCTGCCTCACCACAAGAAACTGCACACAGTAGCTTCTTATTTACAAGAAATACAAATATTTTGTTAGTCTGAAATGATGGGAAAAATCCTCTTATTTATCCAAGCAATCAAAACAAAGGAAAACTATCCTGATTTACCCAAGTATACTTGGTCCAGGAAGTTTGCTGCATTGTTTGATAAAAGTCAGTTAAATCTCATTAGAATATTCTAAGAGCTCTTAAAATTGCACAGGGATGCCTTCCTTGATGAAGGCACCCCAGTTCCCTCACTCCATCTGTCTTTCGGCTCATTTATCTCCTGACACTCACAGTTTTGTTCTTCGTGACGATGTTCTTGAACAGCGACCGGTCGATGACTGCGTTGTTCCTCTTCTGCATCAGGTTCAGCCCATAGAGGGTTCGAATCTCCAGGTCATCCGGCTCGTAGTGGGGATCCATCTAAAAGCCCAAAACAGGCCAATAAAACACTTTTGCACCAAAATCTACAAAGTCTTCCAGTTTCCTCAGAAAGGAAAGTATCTGGATTTGCTTCACACACTCCTCAAGGTACAACTCGCAGCCCCCCGTGACATTCAAGGAAACAGTGAACGATCACTTCCAGAGCTGCACTGTTGGGGCACATCTCCACACAGGTCAGAAGCACAACTAATTTACACCAATGCAGGGATCAGGTTAACTGGAACTGCTGAACTGCACTCAGGTCTACCCAAGCATGGGCTTATTCAGAACTTTGGTATCCCCAGATGAGGTTACTGAGACAGGAAACAAACCAGATGAAGGTGACCAGCTCTAAACTAGGAGTGTGCACAAGCTTTATGTGGTTTCCCTAATCCATTTAAATTTTTCAGATCAACTTTCCTCAGCATTCCTCTGCACACGGGCCCTGAAGATACAGGCTCAACCAATACAACCTCATCCTTGCAAAGTTAATTGAATTGCAGGAGGTAATCACCTGCCAAGGCTGCCTGCAATTTCACTCCTTCTTGCCTGAAGCTCCTGAGCCACCTTCTACAGCTCCCCTGGCAGCAACACTACAGTTGCAATGTCAGCTAAGCCTTGGATTTTCTTTTTCTGATGTTACAGTGAAGTTCTCTGCTCTCAGCCCAGTTCCAAATTCTGTGGTGCCATCCTCATCCCTGACTGTACTAAAGACTGCTCTGAAAATACCAATGCCCACAGAGGGCTCCCCCAGGGTTTAAATGCACCTGCCTCTCTGAGTGATGACTCACATCATCACTCAGACACTGTATCTTAAAGGATTCAGGGAGGAAACAGTCAGCAAAAGTGAGAGGAAAGCCAGCAGAGTGGAAGGAGCACAGAAATGCTGTTTCTTTGAGGTACTCTTGCTAGTTCATAGATTTAATGGCTTTAAATCCACTGTAAGGGGACCAGAATGAGTCCCCTAGTTACTTGGACACCAGTATCTGTGAGAAGTAGGTATGGAAAGAGCAGCAGAGGGTTAGGGAGGACCAGGAGTACAAACCTGGAGGACACAGTAACCACCATTCTTCTTCTTGGAAAGGATTTTGAGAGCTTCTTCCTCGTAGCCGGGAGCCACCACACCATCAGACACCTGCAACACACAGATTTCAGCATCCATGTGACAAAAATGAAAGGAGGGGCTCAGACTGAAGGCTCTGCCTGCCATTTCACAGTGTGCAGTGAAGACACACCCCTTGGGGTCTGTGTGTACCCAACAACACCAAAAGCACTATTACAATACTGGTTTCAGTCCTGGAAACAAAAAATTGCAGAGCACTATAAGCTCTTGGCAGGAGTTAGTAAAAAATACCCCACATAACTTTAAACAGCATGGAAGTAATATCGTTCTCCAGGGGGAAACAGCTCAACCATGACATCCCCCACTTTTTAACTCTAACAGTAAATATGGCTTAAAACCCAACAAATCCTCATTTCAACAGTGATACTCCTGATGAGACAAAAATACTGGCAAAAGAGCTGTTAACAGCATTGAAACTGAGATGTTTACATTCATTAGTGCCATAAAGCCATACATAACTTCCACATTTCTGTCTTTCAATGTGGGTGGGGCTTTTTTGTTTTAAAGTACCAAATATTATGCTCACAAACCAAACAGACTCTTTCACTTGTTTGACAAGGAAGGGGTCTTACAACTCATCTCATTCTAGCCCCCTGCCATGAGCAGAGACACCTTCCACTAGACCAGGTTGCTCCAAGCCCCATCCAACTTCCATGACTTGTGCAGTGCAAGCAGCTGTGGAATTAACACTGGATCCAGAAAAGTGGCAGCCTTGGCAGTTGGACTCAATGATCTCAGAGGTCTTTTCCAACGTAAATGATTCTGTGACTCTTAAGTATAAAGTGCAGCCTGGAAAGTGGCTGAGCCTACACATAAATGGCAGGTAGCAACCTATATCCACATTCCAGGCTTGGGCAAGAGGCTGCCCATCAGCAGTCCAGATCCCTATTGCTCCCTTCAACCAGACACTTGTGACAGCATACTCAGGGTTCATTTCCAGAGGCCTGCAATCATCTCTTGGAAAGCAGTACTGTTATTTCCCAGGCTCTAGCACACAGCCAGGTTTTAGCTGGGAGAAATGCATTGAAAGATTGGTGTCAATTCTGCACTCCAGATCAGAGAATTACCCAAATGGACCAATAAAAGTCCTCAGTAAAATGGGTCAAATTCACACAAAAAGACTGTTACAAACCAATGACTCCATCCAGTGTGATTGTTCTTTTTCCCCCTGGAATGATGTGCTGGTTTAACTAACCTCTCTGGAAATAATCTTGGCCGTAGCCACGTCACAGATGTCAGACAGGGCAATGAAGTCACCAAAGGACGACATCCGATCAGCACCTGAAAAATCCTATTTTTACTAATTTATCAAACCACACACAAAGTCTTTGCTTCTACAGCCCAGCCAACTTCTATAAGAGCTAATAATTTAATCCAAGAGGAAAAAGAAAAAAAAAAGGCCATATCAGAGCAACAAGGACAAAAAAATCCTACCTCAAAGACATGGACCTTTAAATATTCCCATTGTTCAGATATTCTTCCTTCTTCCCTGCCTCTCTCAAAGCTCTAACTCTATAATGACTACCTCTGTGACCACAAGCAACTCAGCTGTACCCAGTGGTGACAAGAGGACAAGCAGAGGCAAGGATCACACAGGAAGATTTTAGACGAGAAACAGCTGGAAAAACAGGAAAGCTTTTAGATGCCTTATGCTCCACCTAGCTTTTCCTGCAAGAAACTACCCCAGAAATGTAGCTAAAAGCAATTTTTTTTAATGTTTTGAAAACTAAATATTCTTAATGTTTAATGGCATAGCTAAGGTGAACTCAGCTGCCATCACAGATGTCTCACTCCTCAGCAAGGTCAGTTCTTCTATCTCTGCCATTCTAAATGTTTGTTTTTCTACCAACCATTGCAACAGTTTTCTGAGGTCAATGTTCAAAGGTGGTCTGGGAAAAATAAACTCAAGCCAGTGTGCTCCTTATCAAGTTTGTTTTGTTTTCTATAATCTGTGAAGATTTTCTAGGAATGACATGGAAAACGAGAGAAGTAGCAAAGTGTCTCAGCTAAGCAGAGGAAGCTGATTCTATTTACTTTTTTAGCTTTTTTTTTTTTTTTTGTGAGCTCTGCAGTACAAAAGTATTAAAAAAACAACCAAATACCACACAGAAATGTTTCTACTCAGGTTAAGTATTGCTAAGTACTCCAAGGCTATGACTCCAAGTGACTCTCTGCTATCAGCCCAGGTGTTTATCCCTATCCTACAGCCAAAACCCCCCAGATTTATATATCACTGGATATATCTTTTTAATTTAAATATGTATAATCTCTACAGGTCTTCTATATACATCAAGGAACAGAATCCAAAATGGTTTTAGCTCTTTGAAACAGCACACAAGGTCTGCTCACTTGAAGAGCAATTTCTGACAGGTAGTCAGGCAGATCTTCATGGAGAAAAGCCCTGCAGAGGAGGAGTGTTGGTGCAAGGGGAAGAGCCTGGGAAGTGCTGAGTGGAACTCAGCCCTCTGGACATGCTGTTTTCCTGAGGTTGTCTAGCCCCTCACCTCTGCTGCGGGCGTAGGCAGAGGCCACGGGCGTCAGGCTCTTGTGGAAGTCGTGCACCATGCAGACTTGCGCCTCCTCCTCGCTGAGCGGAACTCCAACAGCAGCACCTAGTGGGAAACACGAGCCAGGGCACTCAAACTCTGCCGCCGGGGATCTCCCCACACTGCCAGGGTGAGGGACACACTCCCCACTGGCAGGGCCTGCCAAAAGCCGGGAGTGTGTCCAAGGAGAAAGGCATGGCAAGGAAGGGCTGCCCTACCTGCGGGACTGACGTGTTTGAAGGAGGCAGCTGCTGGAAGGCCCAGAGCCTGCTTGAGCTCCTTCACCAGCTGCCAGGCATTGAGGGCATCACAGAGGTTGATGAAGCCTGGAGAGCCATTCACCACTGCAAACACAGCACTAAGATGTGTTAAAGCAGGCAGAGCCCTCTCCCCAGAGCCTGGAGAGCAAGCACAAAAGATTTCTCCCAGGGCTGAAAGAACTACAAGTCGTTCTTGTGCAATGACCCTGGCTCCTCAGCAACTGGTTAAGTGCCCAGCAATCCACAGCAAGAGTCAAGGCCCTTTCAAAGTCTGCTCTCAAAACCTTTTGCTCTGGCCCTGACAGAAGAACTCCTTGTTCTGACATGGCAGCACTGTGAGCATTTCAGGAGAGTGGGGGAAAGATCAATTTAACAATAACCCCCATCCGGGGCGAGTGAGCACAGTGTTGTTCTGGTGCCCTTCTGGGAGGCAGACTTGCAAGCAAATCAACCTCCAGTGCAGGAATAGAAAAGCTTCCTAAGAGGTCTGAGAGTTGAAACTGGGAAATGCTGCAACACAAAGCTTCACTGTTTATTCAACAGGACAATGCCTGCCCACATTGGAAGCAGTCTCAAGAACAAAAGCAGCCAGATTTTCTCTCCAAAACAGAGGGTTCCCCCGCTGCAACAATGCTGTGGTGAGGGGCACACCCCATAAAATGGCAGAGACATACCAGACCTGTCCCAAACTTGCAAGTGAGACCAGTACCCCTTCCCTCTGCCACCATCAGCAGAAGCAGTATTCTACAAAACTAAGGTATAAACCACTGCTCAAAACCATCAAAGAAATTAAAAAAAAAAAGAACAAAACCAATTCAGACCTAGAGAAGAACAGCTTGGTTTCCAGACAGATTAAATGGTGACACAAAAAGATGGTGAACATACTAAACAAGGAAAATGGCAAGTAGAAAAGCATCTTCAAAGGATGATGAGGTTTTCCTTTGCAAAATCTGGATCTAACATCAAGCAAAAAGTACACTGTATAAATCTGCTTTAAGTATATTGGACTCACAATCCTACAGCAACAGAGAACAGGGACCAACAGTAGGTCTTGTGGGGATCAGCACACAAATTCTTCTGTCTCACACAGCTCAACCTTTTAATTGCCAAGGTAGTGCCACTCAGTAACAAAGCAGTTGTGAAGGCACTGCAGGCCATCCTAAGGTTGGCTTAAGGTACAAGAAGGTCTTTCAGTCCGAAAGACAGACAGCAGGTGTGTCCAACCACCTCCATTCCCAGCTGTCCCAGAGCTCCCTTCTGAGCCGAGCTCACCTGTCAGGGGGAGTTTGGCTCTCGTGGTGTAGAGCTGTGCAGGACTCTGGTGAGGGTTCATGCCGTACCTCAGGGGCAGCTGGGACACCCCCTTGCTGTATTCCTTCCTAAAGTAGTCAGAGATGGCTGCATCGTACTGGGCAGTGTGGGTGAAAGCCTGGGGACACGACAGGGGACACCTGTCAACTCACAAACATCAGCTTACAAACGATTTGGTGTTTGAAGAGGTGAGGAATGAAAGGCAAATGAGTCTGGCCCAGCCCTTCCCTGGAAGCAAACTCGACCAACCTTCAGTGCCAGGAGCCTCCTGGTCTCCATGGCAGTGTCTTTGTCCCCCGATGCCACCATCTCTTTGGCTACTGCAGAGTAGTCTGCAGGGTCACACACAACTGTCACCCGGGCGTGGTTCTTGGCAGCCGCCCGCAGCAGGGCAACTCCTCCTGCAAGGCAAGGGCACGGGGTGAAGCACTTCCCTCCTGGGGAAGCCAAGCAGAGGCCAAGGAGGGACATGCACCAATCCATCATTTGTGCCAGATGAACGTGTCCCCCTCCCTCCAGCACGGAGCAGGGTGAGGGTGCTCCTCAGAATGCACAAGGCTGGTGAGTTGGACTCAATCCACGAGGAAGGTTTGCACATTGACTGGCCTTTGCAGGCCCAGGCAGAGCTGCAGTGGTGGGGAAAGAGCTCATGGGCCTGATGAGCAACTGGGGCAAAAATGTCCTCAAGCAGCACAGCCACATCCCAGAGATGGCTGCAGCCACATCCCAGAGATGGCTGCAGCCACATCCCAGAGATGGCTGCAGCCACATCCCAGAGATGGCTGCAGCCACATCCCAGAGATGGCTGCAGCCACATATGGTTTAAGCACCATGCTCTGCAACATCAAGGTGGGCAGGGGTCTAGAGAAAGATTTATTCCTACACTGCCAAGCAATCAAGGTTTCTAAACCTCTCTGCAAATAATACTGAATCTTGCCCAGGTCCTCTGTGTGAGATAAAATGCCACAGTTACCCCTCAAGTCTGACTCTGCACAGCTGTTGCAACACTTTAAATCACACAAGATAGGCTGTTGCAAAGGAAAAGGAGAGGCTGGCACTGCTTCATGCAGAGCAAGTATTACTCCATAAAACATTTAATAGAGAGCTCTGCTGGGCATCATTTGGACTAAACTACTCTAGGAAAATTCAGTCCCAATCCAACTGCATGGCACAAAGCTGTGCCTGTACTGTTCAGAACTTGCCAAGCAGAGATGCTGCAGTGAAGAGCAAGCCTTTTGGGGTTAATAACTAGGAAGAGAAAATCTGCTAATACAGGTGTCCATGCTTCCAAAGTCAGGTCCTAAGTGCTCTCCCACACAAGCAAACCAGCCCCTTTCCTTGTAACAGCTTCCTGCAGTGAAGTTCTCAGCCATCCCCAGAGCACTTTCAGTGGTTCAGCCTTTTCTCTCCAAAGCTCATGTTTTTTTAAGTTTTTATTACACTGCCAGAGGCAGCACAAGAGGTTTATTCTGCTCCCTGTGTTTCAGGAGGAATCATGCTCCCCCTGGCCTTTCCTAGCACAGCCTTCTGCAGTACCTCAGGCCTTCTCTTGGGCAGTGCACAACTTGCCCCCCATGCAGTGTGCCTTCCCAGCCTGTTACCTGCCATTTTAATTGCAGATCTGCTTGAAAGCCCAACAAGGCTTACCCAACTATGCCTTCAGTCTGCTCCTTGCAGCTCCTGAGCTCTCGAGCAGACTTCCTTTGTGGGTGTGCGAGGCCACCAAACAAAAAGGAAAAGAACTGAGACCACTCAGAGATCAGAAGCATCAAGTCTGTCTGGAAAACAGATCTGTTCTCCCTTTAACTTACCAATATCAATCTTTTCCACTGCATCTTGAACAGTCACCCCGGGAGAAGAAACAGTCTTCACAAAGGGGTAGAGGTTACACACCACAACCCTGAGAATTGGGGGGGAAAACCGTTACTCAGCAAGAAATAAAAATGCCAAATTAAGCTTGGCAAGCACATGATACCAACAGTGCTTTCATGGTCTTGTTTCTCAGGGACCAACTAAAATCCTGTGGCCAAGGCTTCTTCCTCCAAAAGACTTAAGACATAGTGGTGCTCAGCCAAAGGCCAGGTGATGGTACAGTGTATTCTGACATTTAACTAGGTTCTGTGTATCAAACAATGTTAGAACCACAATTTACAGGAGCCAGTTTAAAGGAAGAGATTCTTTGAATACGAGGGCCTGTACTTCAATGTTTAGTGATGTTGGTGCAGAACTTGAGCCATCTCAAAGGACTTCAAAGTGGGTTCTCAGTAGTACTGAAAACAGGCACCCAGTAAGCACTCAGGGCAAGGGCCACTGCAAACAAAGTATAATCAATCCAGTTTTCCACAACTTTTCCAAGAGCAGAAAATGACCTACATATCACCTTCTGGACTTTCAAAATACCAACAACATATTAAACCTGAGCGTGCCACCCAGATCCCATAAAGCCTCTGTGGCACATGAAAGCAGGAGGGAAAATTGACTTTTCCCTCTCAAGCTAAGACTGGACCTTAGTGGAATTAGTTTTTTCATCTGATCTGGAAGGTCTGTATTCCAGCAAGCATGAAGTAATAACTTGCCCTGTCCCATCCTACCAGTGCCACATGAACTGTAGCAAAAGAAGGGATTTGTTCTGACCTTCACAAATAAGGTTTTTAATCCAAGAGAATTAATTTACTCTCTTGATCTGAATATATGAAGGTATTGAACTCCAGTATGTGTCCAGTACTGGCAATGAACTGCTGTGATGAGTACCCTTGTGTTCAACTTGTAATAATCCTTTGTTCCCACTGCGTGTGAACTCCAGCAGAAGGGATGATCAGCTTCCAGTACGGTTTTCAGAACCCTCTGTGTCCCTAAATTTCCTACAATGTCTTTTATTGTCTCTTCTGTTTCTAATACCCCTTTCCCCTCAATCCATTCATGCTCCTAACCTGTTGCAAACCATCAGGAATCCGTGGACTTTAACACTGCTAATGCTTTTATCTGTGGAAATCCAGACAATCAACATCAAGCTTTCCTACATTGACTTGGATATGCAAATTTTAGGCAGCTATGCAAAGACAGTCCTGCTGAGGATCAAGCTACTTGTGCTTTTTGTAAGAGAACCTGAATCCAAATTATTACTCTGGATGCAAGTGCACTATAAGTCACTGATGTAAGGGCATGTTATTCCCCCTGCAAATCAGCAGAGCCTGCTTTAATATGCAGCGTGCTCCGAAGAGCCACCACTGCTGAGCCATCTATGAGGATTCCTGTGGTTTTAAATTTCAGGTTTTCAAATTCAGCCTGGAAATCCATCCATCCATCAGGTTTTAAAAGTAATTTTAAAACTTAGGATGCATTCTGGCCCCACAATCATACTGTACCTCCCATCCTGGCTATACCTACAGTTTACTGTGTCCAGCTCAGCCACGTTTCTAAACCAGGAGCTGACATACAGCTGGTTATTCACAAGCACTGGTTAGATGTTAACACCAGTTAGTGACACACAGTCCCAAACTGCCCTGTGTGAATGAACCTGGCAAATACATTCTAACAGAAAAACAACCTTTGGTAAATTAGTGCACAAACTGTTTTACTTCAGTTTCTGGCTGCAGCTCACTTGCTCCCATGATGGCTCTCAAAGTTTAAGTTTTCCGTCTCTTATCTGTGTGTTTTATGTCTAAACAAATTCTGTGTGTTCCTGACCCACTTCTGGTGTCTATTCTTTATTTATGTGTTGAAACTCAGTAAACATTATGCAAATATCAAAGGGTATATTTACTAAGCAAGTATTTCAAAATCAGGAATTGCCATCTGATGGGACATTTGGAACCAAGCTGAGGGGAGACGAGCCAGCTTCAAAAGTACTCAACTTTGCAACACATGTAATGTGGCCCTAAGTTGACTGAATGTAGCGTGTCAAAATTCCCAGAGAACCAGAAGAAAGCAAAACCTCTGTTCCCCGTGGAAGCCACAAAGTAACTTTTTCCTGGTTTAGTTTTTCTCTTACTACAAGTGACGAAAATGCATCAGTAGATTACATCTTTAAATACAAAGTATCTCCTGCCAGGGAAAAGGAAGGAGCCTGCAGATCTCCCGGTGTGCAGATGTTACAATCCCTACTGCTCCCAGTTCCCTGGTGCTGACTGGTCTCCAATGTCGGTTTTTGATAACTGATGGTTTGCATCATGTCCCCCAACATTTACCTTACGAGGCTGAAATCCTGTTTCTTCATATCAGCATTATCCTCTGGAATATTGCGAGCCAAGATACCTAGTTACAAAAAGCAGTGCATCTTCATTGAAAAAGAGCTACATCACCACCAGCTTTTTAATTCAACATCTGCTTTCAGACTGTGCTTTTTCTCAGAGACCTTCTATCATGAACTTTCTGATTCTAGTTCAGACAACACCCTCAGCCCCTACTCCTTTATTCCATTTTACAGACTCCTTGGCTGCTCCAGTTCCACACTATCATCTGTTTTCCCCCAATGATAATTCCTAGAGCATTCCAACTACTGAACAATTTCAAAAATGTACTTTATAAGCACTCAGTTGCTACTCTTAAAACATTAAAACTGTCGTTAAGGAGTTCATGGGAGAGGAAAAGGGCACGTGCCCTATGACACGAGGGAAGCAAGAGAGGCTGTGCCTCTAGCTGAGTAGTGTAGGTGGCTGGCTTGGGTCTAGGAACAGGCAGGTGACAGGCTGGCACAGCATAAGCAACAGCACAGTCCTGGGTTTGAGGCAGTCAGAGATTGCCTCCAGCCCCCAGGTATGACAGACACCGGGTTCCACTCCAGGGATCTCCAGCACAGGAACAGGAGATGAAAGAGCGGATGGATTAATGTGCAGATAGACTAACTGTCAGAGATCTTCTCTGCTGAAGTGGAGCCAGAGAATATCAGAGTATGCAGAAATCACCCACTAAAGACTATGCTGTCGTGTTCCTTATGCTGCACACCAGATTCATTCACAGATTAAATTCCAGAGACTTCTCTGCCTCAACAAGCCTGCAACTGACTCTGCAAAGGATGTGCAAAGGCTTTTACAGAGAAGCTCTGTTACTTATAGCCCCAGGGAGGACGAGCTCTGCACAGATACCAGCACAGCAACAAGCAAGTAATTCAGCCACTGTGCACTTCTCCACCCCTGTGCACTTTACCCCGTGGCTTTTCACCTCTCCTCCAGCTTCTACAGCAAATTTGTTCTCATTACTCAGTTCTTCCACACAACCCTTAAAAAAAGACATCTGTCAACTCCTTTTTTCCCCATCCTCACTGCCCACGGATTTCTCTTTTACATTGAAAAATACAATAGCAGAAACATACCAGCATGGACTGCAGGATGAAGGGTTTTCACACGTCCACCCAGCATCTCAGGGAAGCCTGTCAGGTCTGAAACATCTCTGCTCAGGGAGAAAACGGATGGTAACAGATGTGCCATACTGACTTTTTCTATAGGCTGAATGAACCAAACCAAAAGAATTGTATAAATTTCACTACAAAACCTCCCTAAGCCAAAGGGGTAACAACTGCTTTTCCCATGAATGGAAATAAAGTTCATGGGTCATGCTCAACTAAGTACTACGGTTATTTCTCAAATACATACACTGGAATAACCAAGATAAGCAAGTCCCAAGTCAACGTGGTTTACAGAGAGAATGGAAAGCCATGCTAAGGTGATACACCTCAGTGCTCTTCACCACTCCTTGTGACTGTTTAGGATGGTGAAGGAACAATAAGGAGAAGGGAAAATGTGACCATCTTTGCTTCAGACTCCACTGACAGCACAGCCAAGCGAAGCAGTAGGAGAGACATGACCAACTGCAGGGAGCACAGGGGGTGATGTACATTCGTGCTCATGTGTCCCACTGCATTCATTGGAACCAAAAACAGAATCACAGTCACCCATTCTGCCAAATAATTGACAGATTTTTCATCACTGCACTGGAAACAATTTTTATTTGGCCAGAACTGCTTTTTAATCACAGTACGGAAGAAATTAGAACAAACTTCCCCCGAATCACTGGCCAAAACAGCATGACTGTACATGCACCTTCTCAAACAGTGGATGCACAACACCTAAGTGCTCTGTCTGGATCAGTGGACCACCATGCTGGGAAAATTACTTGTGACAAATGAACTCCAGCAAGCTTCAACATGTTCCTGACACATGTCAGTCCTGTTCCGGGACTAGGCAAAGATGAGCTTGCACCTGGCTGTGAGGAGCAGGACTAGGGTCAGATTATGAACATCAAGATAAAAGACTGTCCCATGGAAACAAAGCTGCCTCAAGGCAGACAAGGCATCACCTCCAAGACAAGGCTCCTGACATCTCTCTGTGCTGACCTGCACAGTAACGCTCTTCAGCCTCAGTAAACAAACTCCTGGCCAACAAGCTTCTGAAGTTTGCTTTAAGGCATGTTTGGGTTTTTTATTTGGAAGGGAAGACTTGCTTTCAGGCCTTTTCTGCTCACAGAGAAAACAATTTAAGCAACCTCAGGGCCCAAATGAGCCTTTTTGTGGAGATGTCCAGGGGAGCATGTGTACCTGACAGGCAAGCCAGCATCTCTCAGGGACTTGGCTGTTCCTCCGGAGGCAATGAGACCCAGGCCGAGCGCATGCAGGCTCTTGGCGAATTCCACCAGGTTGGTCTTGTCAGAGACGCTGAGCAAAGCTGGCATGTGGGAAGAGCACAAGTATTTGGGTTTTAAAAGCAGAACAGAGGGGAAACAGGATTAAGTCAGTGAAGCCTTTGTAACTTCTGTAATTTGGGGAACTTACGTGATGCCAGTCGGCTGGGGAAGGGAAGGGGAGCACCCGAGCCCCACACGGCTCCTCACGGGGCAGCCGGCCCCGAGACGGGACCCCCGAGACGGGACCCCCGAGGCGGGACCCCCGAGGCGGGACCCCCGAGGCGGGACCCCCGAGGCGGGACCCCCGAGGCGGGGGCAGCGCTGCCGCCCGCGCCCCAGTGCGCCGAAAGCGCGGGGCGCTACCGCCTCCGGTCCTCCCGCCTCCCGGAGCCCGAACTTCATCACCCCGCACCCCAAACAAGGTATAGCCGGCCCGAGGGGAAAGCAGCGCCTTCCCGCGCCGCAAACACACAGCCCGAGAACCGCCGGGATGGAAGCGGCGGCCCCGCGCTGAGGCGCCTTCCGGGGCCGCCCTGTTGAGTGGAAGCGGCGGCCATTTCGGGGCCGGCGGGCGGGCAGCCCCCCCACCGCCCTCACGCACACCCTCCCCGCGGCCATGGGCGGCCGCCCCGCGTTACCGAGCTGCTGCCGGGCGGCCATGGCGCCGTCGGTGGGTGCAGGAAGGGGGGGATGCAGCAAAGGGCCGAGCGGCGGCGGCCCGGCGGGATTTGGGTGCACGGGGGCGGGAGCCGGAGGGGGCGGCCCGGGCGGGGCGGGGAATGGAGGGGGCGGTGGTGCCCCGGTCCGGGGTGCGGGCACGTGTGTTGGGGGCACACGCGTGTCCTCGGTGCGCCGCAGAGGATGTGCGGTGGAAGAGCCCCCTGGTCGGACGTGTTGTGTGTGCGACACGTGTGTGCCCCTGGGTGCTCCCGCTACACGTGTGCACAGCGCGTGTATGTGCCACAGACAGGGATGCATGGCACATACACACACACACACGTACATGTATGTGCCACAGGCAGGGATGCATCACACATACACACACACACACGTACATATATGTGCCACAGACAGGAATGCATCACACATACACACACACACACACGTACACGTATGTGCCACAGACAGGAATGCATCACACATACAGAATCACAGAATAGCTGAGCTTGGAAGGGACCTCTGGAGACCCTGCAGTCAACCGCCCCTACTCAGGCAGGGTCACCTGGAGCAGGTGACAGAGGAACGTATCCAGGTGGGTTTGAAATATCTCCAGGGAGGGAGACTCCATGACCACCCTGGACAGCCTGTTCCAGTGCTCTGCCACCCTCCATGGAAGCAACATCTTCCTCATGTTGAGGTGGAACTTGTTGTGTTTTAGTTTATGGCCATTATTCCTTATGCTGTAGCTGGGCACCACTGAAAAGAGTCTGACACCCACTTCTTGGCACCCACCTTGGAGATTTCATAGGTATTCATGAGATCCCCTCTCGGTCTTCTCCAGACTAACCAGGCCCAGCTCCCGCAGTCTCTCCTCATAGGAGAGATGTTCCAGACCCCTCATCATCTTTGTGGCCTCCTCTGGACCTTCTCCAGTAGCTCTTTGTCTTTCTTGTGCCGAGGAGCCCAGAGCTGGACACATATACATATGTGTACAAACACACAGGCACATACCCGTGTGTGTGGGTGCTCAGCCTGCGGGTGTGGGGGACAGGTAGGCAAAGGGCAGCAGTGCTGGGGTGAGGAGGGGGCACAGCCCCCATGTGCCCCACTTGGTGGTGACCCTGCTCCCCAGGTCCCGGTGGGGACAGGGAAGGTGGCCACCAGCCTGGTGTGTTCAGGCCAAGCACCTTCAGGCCAGGGTACAAGGTTTTGTGGGGCCTCCTCAGTGACAGGAGTGATAGGATACCCAGCTTAGTACACAGGTGAAAAATGAGGTGTAGGTAAGGCAATGCCTCATTGCAGTGAAAGGTACTGCAATAAGGACAATTAATTTTTCACAGGAATACTCATTGGAATTTCATCCGTGGAAAATCCTCTCACGGAGCTTACACACGGGCAGAGACAAAACACTTGTTTACCAAGTCTGAGGTGAAAAACTGTTTGCAAATAGTAAAATGATGCATTTCTTCCTTTATTTATTTTTTCTTTTTCTCTGTGAGGGAAACTAATAGGGGGGAGGTTTTGTTCTCTAGTGGCCTCCAAATTTCCTGAGATACTCCCTGCAAAGGAGCTTTTCTTGTGTTTATTCTACCTTCTAACTGTTGGTTTTGACTGATTAAAAGCTGGGCTGTGCCCCTGTACATCGCAGCAGGGTTAGGGTGCAGCACTGGGACAGCAGCAGCTCCGTGCTGCTTTGCAGGTAGAGAGCTCTGCAGTTACTTTGCAGCACAACCCCTGGCCATATCTGGTATATTGAATCAGCAATAAAATCAGCATGGGCAGGCCCTGAGTACTTCTCTCACGTTTTCATGTCCACACAGGTGTTCACTGTACACTTGCAGCTCCTGGAGCATTCAGACTGCCATTAAAAAGCAGTCCCTACTTCCATTAAAAAAGAAGGAATAAATGAAATATTTTAGCTCTTGCAGACAAAAAGCTGGGAAGTACAATGCAAGTGCAACTGGAAGGCACAGAAACTTGGCTGTTTTGATTTGTGGCTCTCTGGCCTTCGGCAGTATTGTCTGTGCAAGAAAGAGCCAAGCAAGAAATACCAAGCAGCCCAAATAAACCCAGTTTGTGTGTTACTCTCAGTAGCAGCCAGTGACAAGCAGTAATAAATTACTGCTCAGGAAGGTGGCTGGAGCCAAATGAAAATATACTGTTAAGTGGTACATGAGCACCATCATTATGAAAATACACACCTTTGACAGAATAAAAGTTGCACAAGGAGTGCAGCTGAGGTGGGCTCTGGTGGTGATTAATGTCTGTGCAAATGAACAACCCGAGGGAGCTCTGCATGTTTATCCAGGCTGGAGAGCAGTTTTCCAGCTGCTGGCGCTGTCAACCTGTGCACAAGAGGACAGGGACGCTGCTGCCTTGGGGCAAACAGTCAGAGGGACGTTATCAGTGTCAATAGTGGCGTTGGTTTTGCTGCAGCTCCAGCGGTTCGTTGTCCCTTGGCCTGTGAGTTGGGGTTTTGTTTGTGCAGGGCCAGGAGTGGCAGGGGGTGGTTTGGGCTTACCCAAACTGTCCCAGCACAGGAAAGACATGGACGTGTTGGAGTGAGTCCAGAGAAGGCCACTGAGATGATTAGAGGGATGGAGCAGCTCTCCAATGAGGAAAGGCTGAGGAAACTGGGATTGTTCAGCCTGGGGAAGAGAGGGCTCTGGCATGACCTAATTGTGGCCTTCCAGGACCTGGAGGGAGCCTACGGGAAAGAGGGAGAGAGACTATTTACAGGGGCCTGGAGTGACAGGACAAGGGGGAATGGCTTCACACTGACAGAGGGCAGGGTTGGATTGCATATTAGGGAGGAATTCTTCCCTGTGAGGGTGGGGAGGCCCTGGCACAGGTTGCCCAGAGAAGCTGTGGCTGCCCCATCCCTGGAAGTGTTCACGGCCAGGTTGGACAGGGTTTGGAGCAACCTGGGCTAGTGGAAGGTGTCCCTACCCAGGGGCTGGAATGAGATAATCTTTAAGGTCCCTTCCAACCCAAACCATTCCATGACTCTATGATTGACATCCAAGAAGGGACATTCTGGCTGTGTGCTGGAGGGGTGTCAGGATTTGGATGTGATAGATCTGTCCTGATTTGGGGTGGGCCATGCAGGGAAAGCAGTCTGCCTCCCCAGAGGTTCAGTTTTGCTTCATAGAGCTTAACTAATTAACTGCTTTTGGTGATGTTTAAAGGATATTCAAATATCCTGTGCTCTGCTCATGTCCCATCATTTATTCAATAGGAACGAGATCTCACTGGAGCTTTTTTTTTTAAAGCATTACAGAAGCTCTTCTTGAGCCAAGAATGCAGGAACATCATACTGGAAATCATGGGGAGAGGTAAATGCTAGAATTACAAATACCAGATTAAGGTTATTTTTAAATCATATTAGGGCCTACATCCAAGAAAGAAAAATCAGCCTTAATTAGCACTGTGCTCTGCTGTGTTAATAAGGAGAGGTAAAAAGAGGATGAGGCTGAATAGAGGCATACAAAAGGGATGGTGTTCCTGGTTTGGCTGTTGTTTGACAGTACCCTAGATTCCCTTCTTTTGAGACTGCAGGGAGTAAGCAATGATTTGTAGCCTGGCTCTGAGTCCCTATTCTAAGTCTGTTTCCTACTGGTTTTTTTTTTTTTTTTCGAGGATCAGACCAAGAGGAGTGTAGAACATGAGGTTAATCTGGCTGTCTGTTAATTGGTTGGGGTAGGAAGCAAACAAGTTGGGATCCTCCAGCTAATCCTGCAGCTGCCTGCAGGCTGGTAGAGGGGTGGGCTGGGCCTGGCAGTGGACAGAGAAGACCCAGCCAAAATGTAGGACATCCATCCAAAGTGGAAGTCCGAGGCTGGTCTGGTTTGGCGCTTCAGAGATGAAATGTTATCAGTGGTGAGCACTGCACCAGTGTCTGACCTGGATCTGCCCTACCCCAATGAAGGTGCCTCATAGACATGAGGCTGCTGTGAAAAAGCATGGTACTGTGGGCATCTCTGCCTGTATGAAAACAGTCTTCAGCTTTGAAATGCTGCATCATAGCAGGTTTATTTTCCTTTACCAGGCCCTGCTTTCATTTAAATATCTCCCTAGTCATGTGCAAACAACCCCTTGACTCCTTCGTGCTCTTTCTGAGCTGCTTTCAAGCAAAGGCTGTGATGTCTCAGCATAATGGTATTCAGCATGATGTAAGACAGGTACATCTCTGTCCTAGCCCAGCTTCTGTTTTCTTCACTGTCAGTTATTGCAATGGGAAGCAAGGAAGTATAGATGAGGAAGATGTCACATTCACAAGGGGCACTGCCTTGTCTGCATTGGTCTGGTGTCTGGTCTCTTCCTTCAGGAGGCCATTTGTCAGGCATGGGGCCCCACTTTCTCCAGTCTCACAAGACCACACTCCTGCAAGCAATACACCTGGTATTTTGGGATTGCTCGCTGCAAAGCTGAGTTCTCGTGAAGGGGCATGCTCAGGAGGCTCCAAGTGCCCTGTCTCAAATGTTGCACAACAGTAGAACTGGGAGTGGAATTGAATCCAGGCTGTTTCTCGATGGTTAGTGCCATATCCAGGCTTTTGGGTTATCTGCCTTTTCCTTTCAGGGTTCATGAGAACTGCAGGGTAAAATCTTTTTGGTGCTAAGTACTGCTTTGTTGAATCTTGTTCAAAAACTGCCTCATGCTGCCTGTGCCACTTGCCACAGTTGCCAGACCTCTGGGGTAGGTTCAGCACGGAGCTGATGAACAGGCTCTCCTGGAGAATGCCACAATAACAGAGAGGCTCCAGAGCCCTGATGCATTTTGAGTTTCTTTTTCAACCCTTATCAGCTTGGAGCAGCTTTTGTTTTACTGTGTTCCTCGGAGGTCCCAGCTAAATCATATCCGTGGCACGCCGTGTGCCAGCCTGTCCTTGTAAATCCCTGTTCAGGGTCCCACGTAGCTGCAGAGATGACAACGAGCCTCTCAGCTAAAGTTCAGAGTCACCAAAGAGCTTTGCTTGGACAATTTGACCTGGATTATGAAGGTCTCATCCCCTCTTCACTCATCAGCACAAATGGTCGGTCTTCCCACACTTTTGATATCAATGTCTGATGCTTTTCCTGCGAAAGAAACAATTCCCTTGCAATGGAATAAATATTGCAG